CATTTGAGATCACCACACAGTTCTTGGGATGCTTTGTTCTATTACTTTCTGATAGCTTTTTCTCTTTATGTTCCGATTATTGAAGTGTCTATTGAAGTTCACTTCTAATAAACCTTTGTTAAGTTTACTGATTCTTTTATTGTCTGTGTAAAGTCTGCTGTCCAGCCCAGTATAGGAGTTCTTCTTCTCTGTTGCCATATGAATTTCTGTTACTAACATTTCCAATTGCTTCTTTCTTGTAGTTTCCATCTCTGTACTGAAATTACCTATCTGATGGTACATATTGTCCAACTTTCAGTTGGAGACTTTAACATTTTAATAATTATAGTTACTTAAAGTTCTCTGTAAGGGATTTTCAATATTTGTACCATATCTGTGCCTATTTCTATTGATTGCTTTGCCTCTTGGCAGTGTGTTGATTTATAAATTGACTTTTCATGTGTTCTAGAATGGGATGAATAGTTTTCATGCATAAGAAATGGGCATGCTTTTTCTCCTAGTTGGTAGTTTACTGTGAATGTAAGTGTCAAGAGTCAAACTGGGCTTGAGGTTTGTTTTGGCTATGTGTCTTGGTACATTTTGGATGGTACATCAAAATATCATAAACTCAAAGGCTTATAAACAATCATGAAAATGTATTTGTCACAATTCTGGAGGATGAGAAGCTTAAGATCAAGGCAATAGCAGATTCAGTATCAGGTGAGGGCCTATTGCCTAATTTATAGATTTCACCTTTCTGTGTCCTCACGTTGTAGAAAGGGTTGAAGAGCTCTCTTCAGCCTGTTTTATAAGAACACTATATTCACAAGGACTGAATTTTCAAGCTTTATTACTTCCTGAAGGCCTTACTTTCTAATACTCTCACCTTGGGGTAAGGATTTATGACACAAATATTCCACCATACCACCATGGTTACCCTGAGTGCACTGTAGTCTTCAAATTCCTCTAACAATACCTATATTTAGAGCAGAAACTCTAGAAGGTGTTTCTCAATTTCTGTTCTGTGCTCAGCTTTAGGTCTTTCTAGTGTGATATATTTCCACACTCCTATGGTTCTCCCTGCAGTGTTCTACTGCTACTGATTACTCAATGCTTTTTAGACTTGAGGTTGGGGTGCTCTCTAGGGAAGCCTTATTCTTAACCAGGCGCTATATTCTTGAGTCTCAGGGTATGGCCCTCTAAGAGCCTTACTTCTTTCCTAGCTATAGTTCTGGCCCCAGCACTTATTCTTGCCCTTCTTACACAGACAGAGGGTACCTTCTGTTCCCTTCCCCTGGCTTCCATGGGTTTTCACCTTGACCCTAAGGGCCATGGTACTTCTCCTCCTCCAGCAGAGTAAGACTTTTGTTCCTATGAGAGAGGCCTGGGTGGGACTTTATGCTCTTCCTGAAGACCATGGTTTATATTTGGAATCCTCCTGTACCCCCTGCAAAGCCTCATGCACTCAAAGGTAGGCTCTCTGAAACATGACTGGATTAGAGGGGCTGTACAGCTGATTTGCTTTTAGGTGAGGACTAGTTTGAAAGAGGCCAGTGACTGGGAAGTGTGGCCTGGAAGGGTTTTCTCCCTTCTCTGCGCTCCCTTCACTCTCTGCTTCCTGGTCGCCATGAGATGAGCAGCTTTTCCTCCACCAGGCCCCTCTGTCATGCCATTCTGCCTCAGAGCCAGCTGACCATGGAGTGAAATCTCTGAAAATCATAAACCAAAATAAACCTTTATTCCTTTAACTTTTGGGTATGGGATATCTTGTCCCAGTGATGAAGCTACGACACTGCAGCAGTTGCTGTACACAATGCATGTGCTGTGAAGGGTGTTCTCTCCCTTCTGTGAGCTCCTGGCAGGCTCACTGGAGAAAAGTCTGTGAAAGGAAGTGGGCTCCATGTACATGTGCAGCACTGCTGTTCACACTCTTGCCAGCCCATACTCAGCCTTTGTCACACAAGTAAGTGCTCTTGCTGGCTTCTTTCTGTTGTTGAGCCATTTTTGTCCCATATAGGCAAATGATGATGTCTGACCCCTCATCGCAGGAACTTAGCATGTGATAAAAGTGCCAGTACAAAACTACACAAGAAAGTGGTTTATTAAATAAATGTTACTGAAAACTCAAAATATGAAGAAAAGTATTTGTATGTTACTTTTCCATTAAAAATAAATTCCAGATGGATGAAATAAGCCAGTGTAAAATGGTAAAAAAGAAGGAAGAAGAAAGAAGGAAAGAAAAAGAAAAGAAAAAATTATCCAACTACTAGGAGAATTCCCTCTCTCTCTCTCTCTTCCTGGAAGCTCTCTCTAAACATGATGCAAATGCCAGAAAATTAAAAAAAGATATGGCTAAATTTGTCTATCTAAAAATTAAAACCTTCACTATGGCTAAAACTAAATAAAAGAACAACTCCCTTTCCCACCAAAATTGCCACCCTAAAAATATTTAGGAGACATTAACAAAGTAGTAGGGTAGCATTTTCAAATAGTTCTTACACATCAATAAGAAGTTAACAAATATCTCAGTGGAACAATGGCCAAAGATTGCCATCCTGGCAAAGATGAACCAAACAGTGCTCGGAAGGTGGGACAGGGCATCCTTTATGCATGGCTGCAGTGTGTGCTCGTTTCCTAGGACTGGTGTAACATGTACCATAAACCAAATGGCTTAAAACAAAGAAGGGTACTATCTAAAATTCTAGGGCCAGAAGTCAGAAATCAAGGTGTTGGCTGGGCCACGCCCCTCTGAAACTTGTAGGGCAGGACATTTCCCTGTTTTGTGTAGCTTCTGGTGACCTGGCATTCTTTGTTTTGCAGATCCATCACTCCAGTCTCTGCCTCTGTTGTCACACAGGTTTCCCCTGTGTCTCTGTATCTTCACATGGCCATCTTCCTTCTTTGTCTGTATAAGATTTCCTCTTCTCATAAAGACTGAACTTATATTGGATTAAGGCCTATTCTAATCCAGTACAACCTCATTTTAACTTGATTACATTTGTCAAGACCCTGTTTCCAAATAAGTTCACATCCACGGAGACTGGAAATTAGAAATTCAACATACCTTTGTGAGGGACACAATTCAACTTGAGTGTAGTAGGTTGGATACAACCTTTCCAAAAGGCAGTTTGGTAATATGCTTCAGAGTTCTGTTTTTAGGAATATACCTTAATGAGATCTTCAAACAAATTGAAAAAGTTATATAACCATTTTTTTGGTTTATAATCAAAGCACTACACAAAACCACAAAGCAGCACCTACAAGCTTCTTGTTCAACAACTGGGGACTATCAGTAAATTCAGTATAAATATCATGTACTCCTTTGGCTCTGTATTTATTGATATGGAAACAGTCTAGATGTCTTGCTAAGGGAAAAAATGTAGGTTGTAAAATGGTGTGATCCTACTTTTGTAAATTTGTACATTTTCCCATAAATGTGGAGCCTGAAAAGATTTTCAGCAAATTAACCAATTAAGAGAGAGAGTGGTGACTGGTGAGTGGAGTGAGGCAGAGAGAGAAGTCAGCCCACCTACTGGGACAGAACAGACTTTGGCTGGGAGATAGTTGCTGTGAACCAAACAAGAGCAAGGGAAGGACTGGGGCAAGACAAACCAACCCACAAAATCCCCACCGTGTACACATCCACCGCGGCTGATTTTATCGGGAAGACTTGATGTCAGGGTTCTATGATGGATAGTATCTCACGTCTAGCACTTAAAGTTAGTCTATCTCTGCTCTTTTTATAAAAATGGAGGAAAGGCCAAGGCAGAGAGCCGTTCAAAGACCTCCACACTCAGGGCAGATTGCTGAGCCTGCCCATAGCCAAACCGGAAGTGGCAGGGCCACTTACTGACTGTGAGATCTCGGGAGAGTCACGTCCTCTCTGGGCTTCTTTCCTCCTGTGTAAATGAGGATCACAGCATTTCAGGATGTTATTACAAGGGGGAAGTAGAGGAAGTATTTGGGAGCAAGTGCCAAATTGGAAAGTACTATTCATTCATTCTTAAACTGTGCAAGGCACAGTTCCAGCCTCTGAGGATTCACTGGAAAACATTATGAATTTATCTTCTGAAGGAAGAAAATTGATAACAAACTAATAGGTAAATGCAGGCTATGATGATGTACCATTGTATGTAGGAAAATGAATACAAATAATATATATATACACAAATAGGTGTTTCATATATGACATACCATGTAAATATAGAATACAGTGTAAAAATCAGGACTGTGAAGAAAAATTTAGCTAGCCAAGGGGGCCTAAGGGTTGCTGGTTTAGGTAGAGTGTTCAGAGAAGGCCTCTCTATAAGATGGCACTAGACTTACTGCTGGTAGAAAGGAGGGAGGAGCCTGTGGCTATCTAGGGGTAGAGGCTTCTAAGTAAAGGGAGCAAGTGCAGAGCCCTGCCTGTTCTCAGAAAAAGTCAATGTGGTTCCAATGATAGGTAAGGTCAGACAGGAAGATAGGCAGGCTGTGTAGGGACTCAGAAGCCATGCAAATGTCTTTGGATTTTACTTTGAATTAGAGGAAAAGTGTGGCAGGGTTTTGAGTAGAGAATTGACATGATCCAAAGTCTGATTAAAAAGATCACAGTTTTCTACATATGGTTGTGTAGGGAGGCAGAAATTAAAACAGGGGGAGCAATTAGGAGGCTAGGTGCAGGTCTGGGTGAGAGATATGGGTTTCCAAGCCTAGAAGATACTGGTGGAGAAAGTAAGGAGTGATGGGTTCAAATGGATATAGTACTATAAAGATAGAGTGGACAGGGATGGTGGGTGGACTCGGTGTATGTTTTAGAGAAAAAGATGATTCTGAAGGTTTTGCCCTAAGAAACTGCAAGAATGGAGCTGCTATCTGAGATGGGGCAGTAGGGGAGGAATGAGATTCAGTCTTGGACAACAGATGGCACCCAAATAATCAAAATATATGATTATTCTGATTGATTTCATCCTAACTGGGGAACTTTCAATACTAGAGTTGTTTTCCTCCTGATGTCACCTCCCCTGTCCTCAACCTCGCAGGAGCATCAATTACCATCACCTGTGATAGGATTAACACACCAAGGAAGGGACGGTAGGAGGAGGAAGCTCCCCGGTACTCCAGTTACAGACCCTGGCACCCACAGTGGAAGGTGAGCCTCTGCTCTGGGTAAACTTCATCATCACTGGCTGGTCCTGGCAAGAAGATAGCACAGTTTTCTTTACCAGCACCTCTATCATCACTAGAAACTGCTCCAAGGGACCAAGTGGACACAATTCTAGGGGGTAAAAGAGTTCCTGGGAGGCTTTGCTGTATGCTACCATGAACTGGAAAGGAAGAAGAACAAGTTCTGCCTTGGGAAGGTTAGAAGCATCTGATGTTAACAGGTAAGAAAATATCCTCTTTATTCCTTGATTTATTTTTAATCTAGTAGATTTTTCAAGAATTTTCTGAGCTGGAGTCCAGGCACAGTGCTGTTTCCTATACACATGGGTAGTATATGGTAACTATTTACATTGTCAATGAAGCAGGCTTTGCTCATCAGAAGATAATGAGAGGTTTTTCCCATTCATTGTGGAGCCTGACCACACTCCCCCTCAGCCTGGCACAGATGATCTGCAAGACAATGCACCTGGCTCTGTGTGTGTAACTGCCTGTTGCTAAGGAATTTCGTCCCTGTAATCAGAGCCTCTGCCTTGATAAATTATTCGCACTTTCAAAAAAAATCCTTGAATCTGAGTAAATCTTGAGACTATCATGAGAGCTCTCGATTAATGTAAAATTAAAGCTCTTTCAGAGCGCTAATTTAATAAAGGGAACACTTTCCAAAAAGCCGTAAGGACCTCCTGAACCATTTGAAGATACAGGCCCCACAGCTTAGAATATAGCTAATTAAGTTTATAAATGCCATTTCAAACATTTTGACTTCAGGGCATTTGATATGTCTGTTTCTATCTAATCTTTTTCTTGTCCTGACCACTAGGCATCTATGTTTTCTACTCACATTGCCCTATCACAATTCTTATCTTTTCCATGTCCACAGGAAAATAAGTTCTAGAGTGTTTCTAGCTCAGGCTTTTGGCCTCTCCTTATTTGCCAAGTGTTGATGAAATGCTGTAATTAAAAGCAGCCCATTTCTTATGAGGTGGCTAAGCTAAGGTACAGTGGACTCTTGACTTATGAATTAAATTCATTCCCAAGGGCCGGTTGTAACTCACGTTGGTCAATTGTCTTCAGAGTCTCTCTCCTGTATAATTTTAGGCCACACTTTCTTCCAGGCAGATCTCAGTGTTCTTGGAGAGGCGTTGGTCCAGGATTTCTCAACCCCATACTGGAAAAAGGATGTTGTAATGTTTCTTCCAGGACTCTTTAAGGGTTAAATTAGTATCTGAGACCATCTGGAAGCACAAGTGACTTGCATTAGGGTCATAATTCAAGACTTTGTTCATAAGTTAAAACGAAATTTCTGGTCGTAACCCAAGTTGTTCATATGTCAAGCTGGTTGTAACTCAAGAGCCCACTGCATTCTCTTAACTTGGGAAAAGAATTTGATTTTTGATGGTTGAAAAAATCAAACTGCAAATATAATGTTAAGTTAGTGTCAATATTGGAAAACAATGCACTTACAAGATTGGATAACTATTATTTACCCAAATAAGGTAAAAGGAACCTTAAATTATGAGTTAAATGTCACCTTCTGGTCTTGTTAAACCACTAGTACCACCTAACGTGCTCTTGGTTTTAAGTCATAGAAGACTCACAAGGCCTAAACACTGAAAAAATTAATTACCATACTGCCATTTAAAGCCAGTGGTAGAGAGTCCTCCATAATAGGTTAATTCAATGTGATTCAAGTCAAATATTCTTTCTGCCCTCATTGTTTGGGCTGCTCAACCTTGCCCACCCCCCCAACATGATGAATTGAATCCCAGGCCTTCACAATGAGCTCTATCCTCAGCCCTCTTTTTATTTTTTATTTTGAGCCAAGTTCTGCTAAGTTGCTGAGCCTGGGCTTGAATTTGTTATCCACCTGTCTCAACCTCCCAAAATGCTGGGATTACAGATGTGTACCACCACACCTGGGCTGTTTGGGCCTTCGACCGCATATTTATCCTGGTTGCAAGAGCATGCCATCATCTCCACCTACAGGCAAAATCTGAGGCAGGAAAGGAGCACAGTTTTCTTATGTGTCTTGAACATAGGCCTTTCCCAAAAGCCATCCAGTAGAATTCTACTTACATCTAATTAGCCAATGTTGTGTCACGCGCTCATGTCTAACCCTAAACCAGTGAGAAAAGTGGATTATCACCATTGGCTATGATCCCTTGACCTCCCCCTGAGCTAGGGAGAATCTTTTCTTGTCAGGAAGGGCATGGCCCTCCAGCACCTATGCGAAAGCAGAGTTCTGTCAGTCAGGGGAAGATAAGAGGAATGGCTGCTGGGTAGAAAGGCATAGGCAAGCACCAGCATTTTCGCTATACATACATACTTTCGGCTCTGCCCTTTCTCTTTCTTAGTTCCTGTTGCTACTCCACTTCTTCTACCTGCCCTCTACATTTGGGGATTGCTTGGGACTCAGTGTATGCCCTCTTCTTTTCTCTCTGTGTACTTTCTGCTTAGAAAATCCCATCCGGCCCTCTGGTTTTTAAATGCTATTTCCATCCTGGCAACCTTCCAGATTGTTACCTTCAACCCTAACCTCTCCTCTCAATTCATATTTGGACACCTAACTTTGGACTTGACACCTCTGCCTTCATTACCAGAAACATCTCAATCATGATGGGTACAAAATAGAGCTTTGTACAGTCCCCCAAATCAGCAACTCCTTGGATGTTTCCATCTTAATAAGTAGCACCTTTGTCTGTCTAGTGGTCTAAGACAGATGCCTGGGAGTCAGTTTTGACTCTTACTTTCCATAAATACCTATGCCAACCATTTTTCTTTTGTTCAACACAGTATCTCATATGCTATTCTGAGGACCCGGCCCACAGTAGGTACTCAACGTTTCCTGAAATTTGAATGAATTACTCATATAGGTCATGTCTTAGCTGAAGAGTGAAAACATGGAGGTTGGAAAGAGCATAAGGGTAATACTGTGTGGCATTCTGATAATGGTGTTTATTCTGGGATGGATGGTCACAGTGCTTTCTGAGTGTTATAATGCCATTTGTCCTCCCATACTGAAACATATTCCCACCCATTCTTTGGCAAGACTTCTACAAACATGGAAGGAGTGCAATAGAATTTTGCAACATGCTCAGAGATGTTCATAGATGCCTCGGCCTCCAGAATGCTCCTCATGGCAATGCCAGGGAATGCCCAATATGAATTGAAACTGTAATGTATGAACAAGTTTCTTTAACTCACAGTTGGAATTTGAATCCAAGCAACATAGCACAGGCTCAGCAAGGCCCACCTTTTGGCTGCATCACCTCATGGTGTCCCAAGGAAGGGCAGGAGTGGCTGGAGGAGCAAGCAAGTGATTATATCTTGAACCAAGAGCAGAGAAAGGGCTAGGGCCAAGCTTATTCCTTTTATAAAAGTCCTCTCTGAAGAACTCAAATTGTCACATGTGAACTACATTACTCCCTCCAGTGACCTAACGATCTCCTAACCAGGTCCTACCTCTCAAATATTCCTTGGTACTTCCCATTACCTCCACCGTACAGACAAATCTTTAACCAGAGTGGACCCTTGGGGGACATAAGCCATCTTCAAACTATAGCACTGACTGCCATGGTATTGGAAAGATGGAGGATGATTCCAGCCAGCTCGTGTTGCTTAATAAGCACCTGCAAAGTCTTGATGGTGTACATCAATGAGCATTTCTTTTATCTGAGTTTGCAGCTTGGCTGGAATGGCTGGTCTAAGCTGGGCAATTCTTCAAGTTCTCAACCTGGCTGGGTTTGGTGGGGATGACTCCGCCCCACATGCATTCATTGGGTCCCAGATGAAAGAGCGGGAACTACTTGAGGAAGGCTCTTCTTATAATGACGAAAGTACAAGAGGGTAGCTCTTGTCCTTTTAAAATATAGGACCAGAAGTGGCACACTGCCACTCTTTCAAATTACTCCAAGCAAGCACAAGACCAAGCCCAAGGTCAAAGGCAAAACACAATGCCTTTTTGGGGAGGATCTACAGAGTTATGGAGAAATGAACATGGATACAGGAAGGGTAAGGACTGGGGCAATACTTAACCTTTTACTAGGCATGGAAAGAAGCAGAAAAGAAAGCCTGGGTTCATGTTAAACCAACTGCGTCCAGGGTGAACCTCCATTTCCCTCTCTTCCTGGATGATCCTCACTGTAATTCAAGGTACATCTTATAGTCTCTTTGGAGTAGATTATCCAAACCAGGTTCTATCTCTCCCAAATTCATTTGTTATTTATTCAGTAATGCTGGACTGCTTGCTCGGTGGGTGCCCTGGATGTTGATTTCTGTAGTATGGTTGTTATGGGAAACATTTCATTTCACATCTGCTGACACAATTTGCTGTCTCTTTCTAAAAAAAAAAAGAAAGAAAGAAAACAAGAGGGAAGCTCATACTCTGATGGCTGTAAAGGATAATGAGTAATTTATTCAGAGCTATATACAAATCAGACTATCGTCTTTCAGACAGAATCAATAATACAATTTTAAGCCCACACACATTTACAAATGCTAGCACTCCAGCACAGCTGGGTTGCCATGGGCAACTAGGGCATGCCAGCTTGTGATCTGAAACAGGCCGCTGCAGTCTTCCAGCCTCGTAAGTGCATTCTGCAGACAGAATTCCAGGGAGCCCAGGCATTTGCCTTGGCTCTGATCTGGCCACCACACAAGTGCACCCCTGTGGTGGTTTGGATTAGTTCTTGTCTGAACTGCTTAGCTTTATTTAAACCCGTATTTGCACAGGACTTCTTCACTATCCCTCCTGTCTGTGTTTCAGTAGGCTGGGAGATAGATGTACAGGGAAGCATGTGAAGGAGCTGTGGAGGAGAGCAGATGAAAAGAGCTCTACCATAGCCTCTGGTGCTCAGAGCAGAGGAAGGCACACCCAGGCCCACCAGAGGGCCCTGGCTGGTTGGTAACAGAAAGCTGAGCACAATGGATATTTCCAATAAGGACTGAAGGGGTGCTGGTTGCTAACATATGTTGATAAGCAAAGAAGAGCAAGACACAGGGAGGGATGAGGGGGAAGGAGAGAGAGCTCTGGGAGCAGGATCACAGGTGGGCAGGCCTCATTAAGAGAGCTGGGGGAGGGTTGGAGGCATAAGAATAAGCCACGGCGGTTCCATTTAAATAGGTCAATACTAATTTAAATGCATTGTCAAAGGAGCCTGAATCATGTTATTTCCTGGTGGAAAAGCCACTGAAAAACTTTTAATAATGAATGGGGACTGAGTGGAAAAGGGGGAGGGAGGAGAAGAAAGAATAAAATCATGACTAAACTGAGTTTGAGCAGCTGGTTCCATTTTCAGGTGAATAGGAAGAGAAAAGAACAAAAAGCACATCCAGGTCAAAGACTGGAAAGCTAGTTGAATGGTAAGGGAAGCAAGGGTGGAGTAGCATTCGACACTCTGAGATCAGGAGCCAGCCAGGCAGCCAATTGGAAAGATCCTGTGGCCAGGAAAACTGCCCTGGAGTTTTAGAAAGAGTGAGATCCTCACCCTTAAACCTCATGTTAATTTGAGCCCCAATGTCTCTGGCTCTGGGGTTCTCCCTTTGCTCTCATTTCTCTTGTTCTTAAAACCACTTGGTTCACATTTTCCAGTATCTGCTCCCAAGCTCTAATCCTCTTTCTTTTATGCTGTGTGCACAGTCTCCCCTAGAGTACTATCCTTGACCATTACCGTCAGATGGTCGATCCCTTGTGCACATGGACTTCACTAATGCTGACCTTTCTCAGTGAGAACAACGGAACCAAACATTTCCATTCAGCCTCTCCCAAGGTTCCATTCAGGGAGTAGACTCATCCCCCTCTGGGCAGTCCCTCACAACTCTTTTGAGTATTTTCTTGTTTTCTGGTGGATCTTTCCATCTGGGTGTCTCAAAAGGAGCTTTGATTCCATTATTGTAAACAGTACATCTTCTTTTGTTTATTGTTTTTCTGAGACCCTTTTCCCCTTTATGTCAGTTAGGACCCTGGAACCATGCTTCCTCTTCCCTAGTCTCCAGGCATGGAAACCTATTATTTCAACCCGCCCTTGTGGTTCAGACCTTGTTTTCATTCAGACAGTCTATGGATCTTTCCTGGGCTCCTGCTGATGATCTCTGTCCCTTCCAACGTTTCCATACTGCAGAAAGAATGGTCTTTGAAAAATGTCTTGCTGGGGTGGTTTTCATTTTCTTAAGGATGATATCCAACCTCCTCAGTACAACATATGCCGAGGATCTAATTCCCAGGAATTTGTTGATCTTATCTCTTTGCCCTCCCTGGCTTGCACCAGAACTTCTCCATGTGTAACCACTAGGAGCTCCATGAGTCCATCAAAATCCAGATTATTCTTGCCTCTGCACTGTTCTATTTACTCTGTCTCTTCTGGAAGTCACAGTCCCTTGTCTGCCCAGAAAACTAATACTTATCCTTCCAAGGGCTTCTCCAGAAAGCACCTCCCCACTGCAGAGTTAAGTTCTTTTTTGCTACGTTACTATATGATTGACTTGGGACTTAACACAGTGCTAAAATTACTGGCTCACCTATCTGGTCTCTGTTTTTTCTTCATCATCTCAGCATGTGACACAATATCTGGTATAGGCTATGCCCAAAATAAATGCTGGTCGAAGTAAGAGAATGAATGAAGAGTGAGTGAAGGCTCCCAGCAATGCTGTCACCAGGCCCACCCCTATTTAGGAAGGGTCAGCTTCCGCTGTGGAACAGTCTTACTTTGGAGTAAGCCACCCTTTGAGGACTAGCTGTAGGTTTGATGGGCAGATTCTGCTAAGCAAGATGGTAACATGGATACTAATAGCATTTGGAATGAGCTTAGAGGTTCCTTAACCCAACTTCTCATTTTAGGATCAGACTCAGAAGGCCAGGTAGCATGGCCATGGACACATGCTTGGATAATGAGGAAAGCCTAGAAACACAGGTCTGGCCCAGAGTTTATTGGTATTTCCTGTACTACCTTCTGCTTGCTGCAAATGGGAGACTCTAAAAAGAGTGGTTATTGAGTGAGTGGTTTTAAAGTGGGTGATTATTTTCTGGTTATGAAATAACTATTCATTATACAAAATTATAAATTATATAAGGTTACTATAGAAAATATAGATGAGACAAAGCAATAAAGAGAAGAAAATGGGAAGTATGTGTCAACTCTTCACCAGACAGACAATTAGGTCCTACATCTTGGCTGTTTGTATAGCAAAGAACAGGAATGCCTTTGAGGTAGCTCAAGCCCTTTGTGGTGGGATCACAGGTAGAGGAACAGGGAATTTCCTGGTGATCTTAAAACAGGCAACTATCTTGGGCTGGCCCTTAGCTTGTAGGGAGCAGTGGGTCTGAACTCAAAGGCTACCTAGAGATCCATGAACAAATAGATAAAAGTTGCTTCTCTGGAGTCCCAGTGCTCACAGAACTTGGCTCACGCATTGTGTCTGTTTGTTTCTGCTGCACCACCATCCTGTGAGCACTTTTCCAATGTGCTAGTTTAACCACCGAGACTCAGACTGGCTCAACCCATCTTTTCGATAGTCTTCAGGTTGGTGGACATCCTTTATATGTCACCTGGCCAGCTGTGGACAGGAGACTTACATGCATTTGGCCAGCCTCTCATAGCACAGAAAGAGGCAGTGCTGGCCTAAATAATTACACCAATCGTGATCATAACAATAAATGATGACAATAGCTGTGTTAGTTTTCTGTCCCTGTGCTGAAATGCCTGAGATAATCAACTTAAAAGGGTTTATTTTGGCTCATTCTTTCAGAGATTTTAGTCCATGGTTAGTTGGCTTTGTTGTTTTGGGGCCTATGGTGAGGTAACACATCATCTGAAGGAGAGCATGGTGGAGCAAAGCTACTGACCTCATGGCCAGGAAGCAAAGAGAAAGAGAAAGAGCTGAGGTCCCTCAAGGGTGCACCCCCCATGACCTAACTTCCTCCTATTAGGCTCCACCTCTGAAAGTTTCCACCACCTTCCAATAATGTCACAGGGTGGAGACCAGGGCTTTAATACATTGCTTTGGGGACATTTCAGATCAAAACAATAGCTGACATTTGTGGAGCACCTACTATGTGTCTTCTACTGTTCTAAATACCAGACACACATAACATTTACTCACTCAGCAAGTAACCCTGCACCCTGTAATGATCACAACTTCACAGTGGGGGAAATTAAATATTGTCAGCCATACAGCATTTTCTCTATACTCTATTGTCCAGGAAAATAGAGGGGTGCATTTATAATGTTTCCGTTTCAAATGGAATCTCTCAGGCTCTTTCCTGCAAAGGCCCATTACTCTAATTTTAGTTTCCCAAAGTGCTCCATTTAAGTGTTCTATGATCTCAAATCGTCCCTCCCTCTTGTCATACCCCTACCTGTCCAAATCCTACCCTATTCAGTGGACTTCCTGCTCTCCTTCCTTCCCTTCACCTCACTGAAGAAAAGCCCAGTTTGGCTTGTTGGTGTGTAGGGCCTGCCATTAGTAAAAAGATAAATGCTATACTCTTATTCAACCAATGAAGTAAAATTTCAGAGCACTAAGGATAAGAAAGTCTTCAAAGGGCCTCATGGGTTCTGTAGCATCTCTTCTTTCCTGCAGGGTCCAAGCAACACCCAGGCTCTAACACGATGTATCAAGCCTTCTTCCTAAGGGAGCACTCCTCTTGATCACTCAATAATCCTGAGCCTTGAAGACAGCCATCCTCCTCTGTGATTTGGAAAGAAAGATCACAATCTAGTTTATCGCTGCCAGCTGTGCCCCTAAAGGGATAATTGGCCTACCTCTTGTTTCTTTTTCCCAGAGCCAAAATTTGGGGCAAAATGAAAAGAGATTGCAAAGTTTTTCTGCCTTACTTGTTAACCAAAGAGATAACTTTCTTCCTAAAGTGTGTATTTCCAAAAGATGCAGCAAGCAAGATCTCTAAAATTGAGAAAGTCAAGTAAGGGACTAGCAGGTATTACTCTAAGTACAGATACAAAAGAGCTCAGTGCCTAAGAAAAGAAGTCTGAAATCTATTATTGCCTCTGTTTGCTTGAGATTGAAACACTAACAGAAAAGGCAGTAAACACAGGCACCTTTAGGGATTTTTCTGAGCAGGCCCTGTAACACTGTTGTAAAATTAACAGTAATTAGAATTATTGCTTTAACATCTTGTCATTTATAGCTAATTACCAAGTACTACAATAAAAATTATCGTGAAGTACATGTCAGATTCACTTTGTTGTAAACTTGATTTAATTACAGTCCTTCATTTTCACGGAGTTTGCCTTAATATTTTATGCTTCCTCATTACATTGTCTGTTGAGAACTGAAAATACTTATGGGGGTTGGTATTGGGGTCCATTTCTTTTCTTGTTTTTTTCTTCTTATAGCAAGGTGGGAAGTGCTCAGTTTTATGTTTTCTGTAGTGGTCAGTTGAGTCAGAGATCCCATCCCTATACCCTAAAAGTCCTTTCTGCCTTTTGAAGCCACCTCTGAAACTGTGGCTATCTGGGTTGCTCAGAGAGAATTGCATGTGGGTTGGGGTGAGTCCCTAGGTCCTTCCAGAGAATCTTAATGGGATTGTGCCTGTGTACAGCATCCTGAACCCAGCAGCAACCCTGAGAAACCTGGTGATTATTCGAGCTCACACTTGCCCTGCTGGGCATCAGCCTTCGTTAGATCAAAGGCTGTGTAACGAGGAACCCCCAGCCTGGCTGCTGCGGGCCTCCCTCACGCGCCAGAGGATGCGCAGCCACTCAGTGGGCATAGAGGACCTGGCAGCAGGGAGGACGCCACCGCACCACACAGACCTTGCACAGAGCCTGAGCCCAGGAAAGGTAAGTGGGCCTCAAGCAGGTGGCCAGGGCAGTCTGACAGGCAGGGCCCTAGGATTGGGCTACAGTCCTCAAACAGGACCAGATCAGCCATCGCCAATGACTCAGTGAAAAGCTGGGGTCCCTATTACATGTGTGGTGGCCTCCTTTCTGTCAGGTCTCACCTCCCTTCAGGTATGCTCTGTAACCATCCCTCACCCACTGCCACACCTTTCAGAGCTTCTCTACAGACCACCCGGCATCTACATGCTTTTCTTTCCTTCTCATGTCCAGCAACATCTCCTTTTCAATTTCTAATTCCTTTCTGGTTCCATTCTTTTCTTTCTCTGTGACAGTTAGTTACCTCTGGATAAACCAGAGTCATGCTAATATGTTATGGGTACAAATAAATTTCAATGATCCATGTCACTTGGCTTCAAGTTAGCAAACATTTATGGAGCAATACCATGAACTGAGCCCCAGAGAAAAGGCAAATTTAACAAACTCTAGCCCCTACAAACTTTAGGCAGCTACTCTGGTTTTTCCTCTAAGAAGAGGTTTTTAGGTGGTACCATGGTGAAATTTTTTTTTTAAAAAAATAGTGTGTTTATGTTCATGTGTGCTAGGAATATAACATGCACTTCAAATCCATGATTTCATGATTACTCTTGTTTATAATGAGGCTGAAGGAGGTAGGATGTAAAATAAGCAAGGCTATTTAAAGAAAAATACTAAGTCAATAATAGAAAATGGCAAAACCTGTGTGGATTAGACTTGTGGCTAATATTTAGGAAGCAAGAATTCAGTAGGAGAGTGTTATAGTTTAAATATGAAATGTGAACCAAAGATTCATGTACTAAGGGCACTAACCCTCTGATGAGTTCATAGCTAACCTAACAGGGCTATTGGAGGTGAGGTCTGATTGGAAGAAGTAGGTCATTGGGGGCGTGCCTTCGCAGAGTATATCTCTTTTCTCTCTGCTTCCTTGCTGCTATGAACTAAGTAGCTTTCCTCTGGCATGCCCTTCCATCATGATGTTTCTAAAATGAAGCCAACTACCATGGACCAAAACCCCTGAAACTGTGAGCCAAAGTAAACCTTTCATCCATTGTGTATTTTGTCCCAGAAATGGAAAAGCTGACTAATACAGAGAGAAAGACATGTATCCAAAAGATACCTCTTCCTAATATAAGGAGAGAGAAATTACTTCTGACTTGGGGGAAAAGAAAAGCTTCACAGATAAGGTGGCACTTGAAATGGGCCTTAAAGGATGGATAAGAATTATTCCCTACTTGGAAGAAACAGCACAAACCAAGGCACACAACTTATGGAAATACATGGGGCCTGAGAAACAGGAATAGGACTTCTACCGACCAATGAGGGTGGTAAAAATTGGGTTGTGTTCTTTTTGCCTTGGTGACCTATGTGGGTAATATTTCAAAATGGTCTTTATTATGGCAGGGATCTTTATATTGTGAATGTCATGGTTGTATCTAGATGTCCCCCCAAAGCCTCATGTGGTCATAGGTGGGGCTTTTTGGAGATGGCTGAATCTAGCATGTGTGATACTAGGATTAGGAGTGTGATGATGCTGGGATTAAGGGTGTGATACATTGTGTAATTACTAAATTAGTCCACTGATTGGTTTAGCATAATCTAGGTATGTATAATGGGAAGGCCTATCCTGGGTATGGGTAGCACCACCCAAAAGTTGGTAATGTGGAAGGGATAAAAGGGAGAAGCAGGGTGCTGCTGCCACCCTTACTTGCTGTTTCTGTTGATTTGCTGCTGCTGCTGCTCGCTGCCTTCTGCCCACTCTACCATGCCATGGACTGTTTCTCCTCTGTGATGCCCCTCTGCCCTGCCACCCTACTTTAGAACCAACCATGGACTGAAACCTCTACAAACTGTGAGCTAAATAAACCTTTCCTCCTTTAACTTGTAAGTGTCAGGTATTTTGTCTCAGCAATGAGACAAATAACCAAGATAGAGAACAAGATTCATGGTCAGGAAATGGATTTACTAAGATATTAATGGTATCCAAAATAATTTCAGACAACAGATAATGTTAGAGTGCCTGGTCTAACTCAAGTATAGGAAGTGGATTGTGAATCTTTTGTTTTGTGAGTATTGAATCATGATAGGCAGTCAAGAAGGTCTAACTTTGTTGCCTCCATGTGATGAGACTCACAGCCATGGTGAAACTTTATAGGAATGAGAATCTGTTTCTGGTCATCTCTTGAGTCAGTGCATAGAGCTGTCATCCATGTAGGTTCTACACCAACTTTCCCACCACCCATCAAACCTTTCAATTGTCTTCTGGGCTGAAGAGAGGAAGTTTTGGTAACCATCAGAGTATGGCAAGACACATTTCATGGTTGAGTCTCAGTTTTTTGCAGCCAGCCTGGGTTTTTGTTTTAAATCAGCTTTTTTGAAGTTTAATAGATATATAGTAAACTGCAAGTATTTAACATAAACAATCTGATGAATGTAGGCATATTCTTATGCCTATGAAACCATTGCCACAATCAGGAAAATAGGCATATCCATTTTCTCTAAAAGTTTCCTCATGTCCCTGTTTTCTGTGTGTAGTAAGCATATGAGACCCACCTTATTGACAAAATTTTAAGTGCACAATACAGTACTATTGATGCTAGGTGCTATACTTCTTTACACAGCAGATCTCTAAAACTAATTCATTTTGCACAACTGAAACTTTATGGAGAATCGTCAAAGAATTAAAAACAGATCTACCATATGATCCAGCAATTCTACCCCTGAGTGTATACCCAAAAGAATCAAAGTCGGGATCTCAGAGAGATATCTACACATCTATGTTTATATCACCATTATTCAGCATAGCTAAGATATAGAAATAACCCAGGATGGATTTTAAGCCTTTGCTAATTGGATTAACAACTGCCATTCTCCCAGCCCTATTGCTTGTGACTGACTGGCTTTGGTAGGTGTATCTGAGGCCTAGAGCCCCTTGTTGCCATCTCAGAATGGTAACATGATCAAAAATTTCCCCCATGAGGCATGTATGAGATGGTACAGAGTCTGAGCTGTGCAGGAGGATGTGGGATGATACCACTTCAAAGAAAAAGTGATGGCCTAAAAGTGGTACATATTTAAATTAGCCACAGGGAAATAGGCATACAGTATCTATTTTTAATTTGTGTTAGAACATAAAAGAGCCAGGGTTGCTCATAGAGCAGAATATTGTCTTTGAATGTAGGAGATGAAGACATCCTCAGCTTTACCACTCACTTCTTTCCTGACAGACAGTGGGTAAAAGCCCAGGGAAGGGAGCAGGCAGCAGGATGTGTGAGCTGCTGTGAGTTTATCACTAGTTCAGTTCACCCGTGTCTTCAGATCCCTTTCATCTCTGAAGATTCTAAACTTGTTGCCCGCACCATTCTGGGTCAGCTCCTTCATGAAGTATGCACTCTCCCTCAAGAGCTGCTCCCAGGAAAAGTTATAGAGGTTTCTTTCTCACTCTAGTGTGACAGGCTGACAATAGCTTACATTTACCTTTGCAGACACTCTTGCATTTCAGAGAGGCTGAGTACCTCAGTGCATAGGGAAGCAGCTGCAGCTGGGCCCTCTGGTACAGTCTGTGGACAACATCTGTAAGCAGGAAACCATTAAAGCAATACATACAGTAACTGGCTATGGCTCTGTCTTAGCCTGCCTTGTACTGCTGTATGAAAATTACTTTACCCTGGATAATCTATAAAGAAAAGGGGTTCATTCAGCTTACAATTCTGGTGGCCGGAAACCCAGACACCATATCCCAGGTGTCTGTTGGCTACATCATCACATGGCAGTGAAAGAGAAAGGGAACCAGCCACCTATAAAAGAGGCTGAGCAATGTGAGGCAGCCTTATTTTATAATAACATGCCATCTCCGGAACTAGTCCAATCCCAAGACCCAGCGCACTCCTGCAAAACAGCAGTAGTCGATTAAAGAGATTGGTGTTCCTATGACCCACTTGGCCCTGTCCTTTAAAGGTTCCACCTCCTGGTGCTGCCACGTGGGGACCAGGTTCCTAGCACATGAACCTATGGGGGACAGATTATATGCAAATCATAGCATCCACCTATGTAGGCAGTCAGATTTGGTTGATGATACTTAAATTTTTCAAAGCTTAAAGATGTTTAAAAGTGTATCCCTTAGAGATAAGCTAAACTTGGAAGCATACAGCCATTTCAGTTCCGTTTAACAGGTGTTTTTTGAGGATCTACTGCATGCCAGTCCCTGCGTCTGAAAGACAGCCAGTCATGAATACTGTGTAATACCTGCCCTTCTTCTCAACTTCTCATTATTGATCTGGGAAGACTTGGGGCATTGTTGCTTCTAAGTGCAGGTCTGACACTGAGTGAAGGCAGATGGCCACTGTAGGCAGCATTGCAAAGGATGCTTGTATTTTCAGAACTATGAATAGTGACTCATCAAGCAATCCTTAAAGAGTATAGTCATTGTCATTTCCCTAAAGTCTTGGAGGAAGGTGAGATCCAGGAGGCAGGAATTAAAGAAGCAAACCAAAGAAGTTTGTAGCTGTAAGCTTCTCCTGATTCAATTGAAATCAACAAGGTCTTATGACAGAGAATGCTGTGATTTTCAAACTGCAAGTACTGGCCCACTTAGTGGGTCATGAAATCAGTCCAGTAGATAAGAAGCCCAGTATTGGGAGAGAAAAAGGAAATGATAGAGAGGGATAGAATAGAACAGAATAAAAATAGCAGAATATATTGCACATATTAAAGGTAAATAGTATTTCACAAATGATTGCAAGTATATGCATATATATAAATATATAGCATACACGTGTACATTTATGTTTAACAGGTTCTTCCTGAGGACTGTGATATAAAAGAAAGTTTGAAAATCATGATTTACAGTACATACCATTGGAAGAGATGATATTTCAGTGTGCCTGTGATAGAACCAACTAGTATCTTTGAGTTAATAGTGTATCAGTTATCTATTGTCACAGTATTGAAGTGTAACCACTGCAAAA